AGCAGGGCCCTCAACCCCTCTGTTCCTGTGCGTCCATTTGTCTGGTTACAATTACGTGTCTGTTAGTATACCCATTGCACAGCACTATGGAATTTGCTGGCGCTATATAAGTAATAAAATAATAATAATAATAAGTTCCTGCTTAGTGTCCTAGTTGCTGTGTTTGTCCTGGCCACTGGAGTGCGCTGCTTCACCATGAAAGATACATCCTGCTTGTTATGCACAGTTCCCTCACAATTTCAGATTTTCTAAAATAATAGCCACAACATACTTTCACTGTTAGAAGACTTCACAATGGCTATCCTGTCATGCCTAGTTGAATTATCACATACATTTCTCTCTTGAACTCATCTGCTTTCCTGACTGACTTCAAAGCATCCTTCCCCATGGATACATTTTATAGCAATGGCTAATTGTGCACAGTTAAAGGATCAAAAGCGTGCTCTGATAATACTTCTAGTTATGTATTCTTTTTACGTAATGATAATTATACAAAAGTACAAATTCTATTCGGAATTAATAAGTTAAGGCAAATAATATCCTAATAATGGATGACTCAAATATGCACAATTTTAGTAGAATACACCCCTGTCTGCTCTTTTGTTCACTGTGTAATAACTGAATATTTTTTGGAAGCACTTTATGTTACAAAAAAATGAATTCACATGTAAATTTAATGGAGCGATAAAGGAATATTTAGTGTGAATGAGTCCAAATCTATTGGAGTTTTATTCCCCCCCCCAAAAGGTTATGTATACTGTGACATTGGAAATAATTAACAACACTATGATTGCATTAATACATTAGTATTTTTAATATTTGGATCCTATAAGTATTGTTTAGTTATGTTCAGATACTTCTTTATTTCTAATAGGTGCTTGTGACAACCTGCCAAGAGAGAGCTTTTCGGAGGGAAGATGCCTGAGACTAAGGGGAAAAAAACGCTACCTGAGAGCCAGGTGTAGCACCCTGTATTGCGGCCGCAGGACCACGTATGCATCCGGTCAGAACTGGTGGTGTTTCCCCTACATTGCATGGATCTGAGCCCTATTTGGAGAACTTGGGTGCTCAGATCAGGGCTATTTGGGGATATATGTTATGTGGGGTTACTGTATATTTTTATGATGTTTTGGGGTATTTTTGTGTTTTATGTTATTTTGTTTGACTCTGTTCCTGGGAGATAATTAGCTTACCGGTCTTTAACTCAATTATCTCCCAGGCACAGAGATCTTTGGGAGGGGCTTGCATTGTATGGTGTGGAGACCCCCTGCTGGGGGTTGTGTATATTAACAGGCAACTTGGCCATAATAAAGGAATTCCTTTTAATATTTAAACAAATGGAGGTTATTTAGTCAAGGCAAACCTCTCAGGTGGGTCTTACACTAACCTTTCACCTTGCTTCTTTGAGCTTCTGGCAAAGATATTGCTAATAAGACAGAAAGGGGTATTTTTTTATATACACCCCTACATGCTTATTAAACATTTTTAAGGAACACATGGGATGGGCGGCAGCATTGTAACATAGCTGTGTGATACAAAAGTGAATACAAATACAATAGTACACATCAGCCCCAATACAGCCAGTAGAGAGCCTCAGGCGGCTGCAGCTTTGCCCGGGCTGGTGCGTCCATGAGTGCGCACCGCCCGGGCGCAGCATGAGGAGAGGGGCTGACAGGAGGGAGCGCTCAGCGCTCCCTCCTGTCACTCCCTCCCTGTAGCGTGGCTGAGCCCTGTATGGTCCGTGGGTACAGGGAGCATCTGTCTCCTGTACCCGGCCGGACTAACAGGAAGTGAACACTGAGTGTGCACTTCCTGTTGTCGGCAGTACAACGCAAACCCAGCAACCTCGGCTAAGTGGGAGGTGGGGAAAAATACGGACCAAAGGATAAATGGACAGGAGGAGGGAGGAATAAATAGGGAGGGAGGATAAATGGACAGGAGGGAGGGGGAATAAATGGACAGGAGGGAGGAATAAATGGGCGGGGAGGGGGGATAAATGGACAGGGAGGAGATAAGGGGACAGAAAGAAATAAATGGACGGGAGGGAATAAATGGACAGGAAGGGAAATAAATGGACGGGAGGGGAATAAATGGACGGGAGGAATACATGGACAGGGAGGGATAAAATGGACAGGGAGGAAATAAATGGACAGGGAGGGGGAATCGTGGACAGGGGAAATAAATGGACAGGCAGGGTGGGGAATAAATGGACAGGGAGGAAATAAATGGACAGGCAGGGGAATAAATGGACAGGCAGGAAATATAAATGGACAGGGTGGTGGGAATAAATGGACAGGGAGGGGGGGATAAATGGACAGGCAGGGTGGGGGAATAAATGGACAGGCAGGGTGGGGGGAATAAATTGACAAGGTGGGGGGGAGAAATTGACAGGGAGGGGAATTGACGGGGTTAGGAGGGGGAATGAGAGTGGGGAGGGGAGAAGAGAGTTACAACGGGGGAGACGAGAGTGACAAGGGAGGGGGGAGAAGAGAGGGACACGCAGGGGAGAAGAGAGTGACAAGGGAGGGGGGAGAAGAGAGGGACAAGAGGGGGGAGAAGAGAGGGACAAGGGGGGGAGAAGAGAGAGAGACAAGGGGGGGAGAGAAGAGAGTGACGAGGGAGGGAGAGAGGGATAAGAGAGTGACAAGGGAGGGGGGAGAGATTGACATCCATCACGCACACACAATGCACCCCTTGCACACAGAAAAAAACACAATGCATTACACACACAGACACACACACACACACACAAGCAATTCAACCCTTACACACAATGCATCCCTTACACACACAGAAACACACAATGCATTCCTTACACACACTCAATGCACCCCTTACACACACTCAATGCACCCCTTACAGACGCACACACTGCATCCCGTACATACATAGAAACACACATTGCAGCCCTTACACATACAAACACGGATTCACACAATGCATTCCTTACACACACATCAGGACATCCCCTACTCCTGTGAACAAACTAATTGGTGGAACATGAAGGTGGACCCTGGGGCCCAGACCTTGAGCTGTGTAAAGGGCCCCCAAAAAATGGAGCTGCTTACCGTTCTCCCAGAACACAAACAGCCTCCAGAGAGCCTGTTCTACACCAGACGAGTGGAGCCAGACTGCAGCTAGAGCCCATCACCATCCTCATCTGATTGTAAGTAGGCAATCTAGTATATTATTCGTGGCACTAATCTCTAATTTACCTCACATTAAAGGGACACTTTAGTCCCCAGAACCACTGCAGCTTAATGTAGTGGTTCTGGTGTCTATAGCCTGTCCCTGCAGGCCTTTTAATGTAAATACGGCGGCACTGCAGCACTTGCGTTAGTTAACATGGGGCATTGTGATGTCATATGGGGGGGGGGGGCGGCAAACTTTACTTTTGCCTAGGGCGGCAAAAATCCTTGCACCGGCCCTGATGACAATTAACTAAAGATTAATAAACTATCAATTTACCATCTATTAATGATTGTTATTATAAAGTGTTACCATCTTTTCTTTCTCCAAGGTGTTTTGCTTAAATTTCTCAGCCCTCAGGCTCTTCCTAAGGATACCTCCACTGGTGAAGGTAGAGTGAATAGTGACCTCTTTCAATTTGCTAACAGTGAAATGGTAAAACGTACTAATTTCAGATTTTTTTTTTCAATGATTTTCCCAGCTACACCATAAACTTCATCCTCAACATCAACAGATGCATCACTTCTCAGTGCTGATGTTTCCTCTATAGCACAAGGTACCACAAGCTCTATAATTATAGCTGATATCCTGCACAGCCCAGAGTTTAAACTGATAAGTGTGTGCTGTCATATTGTTAGAAAAAAAACAGTGCAAATCACTGTTGAATTCCCACCAGTAAATACCACCAGTCACTTTTGCCCATGGACATTTCAGAATTTTTAATATACAATAGTGCCTGTCAAATTTCTAGGTGTCAGACACTCAGTGATGCATTCTGTACCTGAACAGATGGATTATATTAATAAAAACATTATTTTTCCCCAGCTACACCGTCAATAACATCTCTCACAGTGGAAGACACTGCACCCAGAACAGAAATTGAGTCTGTACCACTTCCCAACACTGAGGTTACCTCTACAGCTCAAGGTACCACAAGCACTGTAATTATAGCTGATGACCCTGCACAGTGGCCAGCAGTCCTGACTGATTGTGTGAGCTGTCAAATTGTTAAAAAAGGACCAGTGCAAGTCACAAACATTGTTTTCCCCCAAAATTCTGAGAATCCACCTCGAATATTCGCAAATGACAATTACATGAGAAGCATGAAAAATGGTGAGCAAATTCTTCGATCATGGATGTTATATTCCATGAGCACAGACTCAGTGTTCTGTTTTGCCTGCGCTGTTTTTGGTAAGCGTGACAATGCCTTAAGCAACTGTGGCTTCCATCCATGGAGGAACCTAGCTCATCATTTAAAAGAACACAAATATTCAAACGGGCATTTTTACAATATGACAAACTGGCATGATCTGCAGAGGAGACTGCAAACCAATACAACCATAGGTCAACGACAACAAGACTTGATGCAAATCGAGATTGAGCATTGGAAAGGTGTCATAAGGAGAGTGATTGCTATAATTTGTCAATTAGAAGAACGCAACTAGGCTTTAAGAGGGACCACAAGTGAGTTGTATGACCCACACAATGGTAATTTTCTGGCACAAACTGATGGCACATGGTTGAACTGATGGCACAGTTCGATTCAATTATTACTGAACACATAAGATAGATACAAAACCAAGAGACAAGAGCGCATTACTTGAGTGGAACTATTCAAAATGAAATAATTGCACTAATTGGAAACAAGGTACTGGAAGAGATTGTGAGAAGAGTACACAGAGCAAAGTATTACTCTGTTATTATTGATTGCACTCCTGATGTCAGTCATAAGGAACTGCTTTCCATTGTTCTGAGAATTGTCAATTGCGAACCATCTGTGTCCATTGCAGAACATTTCTTTGGATTTTTAGATGTTGAAGACACAACTGGTAAGGGCCTGACTGAATTCCTGCTTGACCACCTGCAGAAACACAGCCTGAGTCTTTCTGACTGCCGTGGTCAGTCTTATGACAATGGCAGCAATATGATGGGCGATAAACAGGGTGTTCAGGCAAGAATTTTGCAATTGAACAGCAAAGCATTTTGCATTCCATGCAGCAATCATACACTTAACCTGGTTGTGGCAGATGCTGCCAAGTCCTCAGTGCTGTCCATCTCCTTCTTTGGTGTGTTGAGACTCTATAACTTATTCAGTTCCTCTGTGCAACGCTGGGCAGTTCCAAAGGAACATGTAATGCAGGTCACTTTAAAACCTTTGTCAACAACAAGATGGGAAGCTCGGATTGACTGGGTGAAGGTGGTGCGATACCAGTTACCAGAGATCCTGGATGCATTGTATGCACTCCAGATGTTTTCTATAGAGAAGAGGGACTCAGAGACCATGTCCACTGCTAAAAGCTTACATGGTGAGATGAAGACCTGGTCTTTTCTGCTTTGCACAATGACCTGGTACAATCATGTCAGCAAGCTGCTACAAAGTCCAAATGTTTCCATGGAAACACTTAGATCAGAAACAGAAGGAGTAAAAGACTACCTTGAAGACTTCAGGGAAAATGGGATTGCTTCCTGTCAAACTGGTGCAAAAGACATTGCAGAAAATCTGCATATGGAAATGACCCTTCCTGAGAAAAGGCAGCGTAAAAAGAAAAGACAGTCTCTATATGAAGGTACAGAGGACACTCAGTCTACTCCAGTCGAGACTTTCAGAAGAGACTTCTTTCTGCCCATGGTTGACACAGCCCTCAGTAGCCTAAGTGACAGGTTTTCAAGATTGAAGGGTGTTTACGACCTTTATGACTTTCTGTTCTCAAAGGACAACATGAAGCAGACAATAAAGAATGGAAAGCTTCATGAACGATGCAAAAAATTGTAACAAACCCTCCATGACATTGATGCTGATGACTTGGCACTTGAGATCAATTCATCTCTGTACACTTTTCCAGACCATGTAGCCACTTCCCCATTTGAAATGCTTAATTACATATACAGTGAGAAGCTACTGGATTTGTACAGTAATTTAAGCATTGCTTTGCGTCTACTCTCCCTGTGTCAGTGGCCTCTGGTGAGAGGAGCTTTTCAGCTTTGAAGCTGATAAAAAAAATTACATGAGGTCCACCATGGGCCAAGAAAGGCTCACAGGACTGGCACTTATGTCAATTGAGCGTGATGTGCGCCAGTCTTTGGACATGGAGGACATTGTGATTGCCTTTGCAGAAAACCAGGCTCGCAAACAGCAGTTTTAGATAATTTGCACATGTTTGTGAGAACTGAAAAATGTTAATCTGAGTGTGTATGTATGTATGTGTGTGTGTGTGTTTTAAGTATGTTGGATTTAGTTATTGTGCACTTTTTTAATGTTTCATTTTAATTTTTAATTTTTTAATATTTGATTTTACGGTACAGTGCTTTTTTTTGCAAATGTTCAATTGTTGAAAATGTTCAAATTTTTTAACTATAAACATTTTTTATTTATGCACAGTATATGCAACAGCAGTATTTGCACTGTAAACCTTTTATATATTTATATAAAGTGTGGGTGAACTTAAACTGTATGGCTATGCTGTGGTTCCTGTAGGCTTTGCGTGTGCGCGGGGGGGGCCTCCATGTCCATTTTGCTTGGGCCCCCGAATTCCTTCAAACAGCCCTGCCCGGCGGCATAAAGGGCAAGGCGCCGGGCCCCCTCCTGTGTCGGGCCCTCGGTCATAGACCGGAGATCCAACATAACCCGACATGTGAGTCTGCCCTAAGGACTTAGACGTCTTTGCCGTCTTTGCTTGTAGGAATCCCCTAACCTTGATTGTTGACTTCCACAGAACTAAGTTGACAGTTCTTATTGTGTGCCGCTACCACTATGACCTTTTTTAAATATACATCTCTGGACAATTTGTAGCCCGAGTTGATAACTGTAGTATTTTTGTAGTTATTTTTTCTGGTCTATATATACCACTTTATCTGTAATCCTTTAATGGTTTTGTATAACACCTTTCTTTGTTGATGATATGCCCTCACTGTTTGACTTTCATATTTTATTTACTTTTTAATAAAAAGTAAAAAAATAATAATAATAAATCAAAAAGCATTTCCAACATGTAAGATGCATTAAAACACAATGCGATGCTCCTGATAGGCCAGGCTACTTCCTAGACTGCGAAGAGATTGTGACTGGTGATGTGATCTGCATAGATTTGCACAAAAAAGGAAAGTGTTTTAGAGTGAATATCTTTTTATGTTTTTACATGTTTTGTAATGCATTATACATACAATGCATTAAAAGCGAATCTATCAGTTCCAGGCAGGAACGTGCCTTTCTGGTTGATTGGAGCTGAGATGTGATTGCCTCTGACAAGCTATTAAAGGAACACTATAGTGATAGGAATACAAACCTGTATTTTTAATGCTATAGAGACCCTGGTTATATAGAGGTCCCACATCTTTAAAAAAAATAAAATAATAAAAAAACATTTTCTTTACCTTTTGCAGCATAGAGACTCCCTTAGTGTTGCTCACCTCTCCGCCTCCCACGAAAATGATTTTCATTACAGGGTTAAAATGACCGAGATCAGTTTATTAAGATGAAGTGGTGTGGGTGACTTCAGTGGTCCTTTAAATTTCCTTCTTACTTTGTTTCCTGGCTTTGTTCTGGTGTTGAGTTGGGTTATGATTGCGGTAGAGCGCAAACTCTGTCAATATCTTACAATTTCTGCTATTATCTCTAGAAGCCTGACTCTTAGCACATGCAATAGATTCTGATGGAAGTATATCATCCTTCCATATCTGAAATGTGACTACGATATAAAAAAACTGTTCTGTCCCATTGGGTGGAATCAGTCTGATATGTAAATGGCCTGGTTCTTTATATAATGGCACAAGATAAACTAAAACCAGCATGCTATTTAAGCTGTTGTCTGTTCTCAGTACTCTCTTGCACCCTATTTTTTACTCTTCCTAAGTTTGAAGGGTAAGGGTGTCTAGAGAAGTAAACTAAAAAACGAAAGAAAAAACCTCCAAAGAAAAGTGGAGATCTCAGGCTGTAAATAGACAATGGATGTAGAGATGTACTAAAAAAATTCTTAGTGGTTATAGTTACCATCAATATGGGGAACAGCATTTAATCATGCTGATTAGTGTCTTGTCAGCAGTAAATAAATTAAATATGGACAAATGTCTTTATTAGATTCTTGTTAACCGACAGAGCAACTCTAAATCACAATCCCCCTGTATGGCTATATATGGTCTAAAGAGGACCAAAATAAAATTGCCAGCGGGTGGAAAGGAAAATAAATACCCCTTTTCTGAATATATAGATGTAGGCTGAAAAAATAAAGTAAAAAGTCTGCAGATGCGGCTACCCTAATATCTATGAAAAACACACACAGACACTTCATTAGTTTCTATGGAGAACTGAGAACAAAGGAAAGTAGCCAAAAGAAATAGTGTATTGCGATGATGAGCGGAACCCCCCTAATCATCAAACATTCCCCCAAGGTGCTGGACTGTTAACCTTAGGAGAAGACAGAGACACTCTAATATAAACCTCCTAATGGTCCTAACTCTCCTCCAGCGCCTTCCTGGGTATGTGGCTAGTACCCAACCTCTATCTATGTCTAGAGAAGTATCTTCTATACCTCACTGATGGTGCCTAACTAGTTTGAAATGATCAATTTGGCTTGCTGTATTTCCCATGCAGAGAGAGACAGACTACATTTTGGATCTGTTCCACCCTTTTGGGTGGAATTAGTCTGAGATGTAATTGACCTTTAAGTAATGGCACAAAATGAGCTAAAACCAGCTTGAGATCTGAGCGGGACCAACCGTAGGGCAAGTTATTTGAGCTGTTGTCCGTTCTCAGTATTCTCTTGTACCCTGTTTTTTGTGAGCACAATATAGAAACATTTTAAGAGTAGTATTATACCACGATATAGTATACATAGTGTAATAATGCTTGAGGTTCTGAGAAAAAAAAAAACTTTTCATGACACCTATAGACAAATAGACAAAGTTGTTTCAAAGATCACAAGAGTTTGTACTGACATGGATTATGCATCTTGGAGATGTTCTAAGGAAATGTCAGGCTTGGGAAAACACAGTAAAGAACTATTATACATGCATAATATTCTGCATTTCATCAAAATTTGGTGCATAAATATTTATCTGGAATGACAGTCATTTTTTCTTGGCAATTTCTCTATTAGCTAAAGTAGTTACAATGACGAGAAATACATATAATGGTTTGTGTAATTATAAAAGTACGGTAAAGATTACCTTCTGTACAAGAATTTCCAAACCAATTTTTCTCCCCTCCAGTCCTTGCCCTCCCCTTTTTATTCTCCCCCATTTTAAACTTTAATTTTTTTGGCATAAAAAGGAGACTTTTTAACCAGAAAAATTTAACCATATTGCCAGCTGGCAATACATAAACCTTATCCAAAGGAGTAAGGTACAGCAAAACATTGCTAGTATTGAAAAGAATACCACCTTATAGGGCATAAGAGGGTGCTAAAGTAAGCTTTTTTTGTATATGAAAGATAAAGGTTTATTAGATTCTTAGAGCAGGCTCTCAAATTTGAATAATCTGCTAAGCATGATTATAAACAGCTTTGGGCTATTACCCTATCGTGGGAAAGGGCAAATATGGAAAGGGAGGTTGAAAACACACAGACAAGAAAGTATAAGGGATGGAGGGAAGGCGACTTTCAAACCTTGGGAGGTGATTATGACCAAAACAGTGTGCATATACTGTACATGCACAGTCTCCCCCCTTATCCTGGCCAATAAAGCTGTGCCTATGTAGTAGATTAGGAGGATTACTCCCAGGTTGACTGGATAGCCACCCATAACAGCCCAATTGAAAAAGCAACCAAGATATTGCAAACACTGAGGCCTGCCGCTGTCGGGATCCCGCGGGCGGCTGCGAGGGGAGGCTGCACTCCGCTCGCGGTACTCACCCTCCAGCCGTCCGTGGTCCCCTCCTCCTCCTGGGTCCGGCGAGCGGCATCCTTCCAGCCTCGGATGCCGCCCGCCGTTCCCTCCACGTCCCCCAGCGGCAGCATACATGACGCTGCATGCTGGGAGACCGCCCAAGTTTGTACACGCCGGGGTCAGTCACCTGACCCGGCGTTAAAGGCACAGTGCCTCAATCACAGTGGGAGGTCTAGATATCTCCCACGTGTGATTGTTAATTCTGATTGGAAATTATCCAATCAGAATTAACCTTGATGGTTTAAATACTTACCTTTCCTGTTCCTCCCTGCCCTGTTGTGGTCTTTGCTTGCTAGTATTGCTACTTACCTTGTGTTTCTGGTTACGTACTCTCTGGCTTGTTTATCCGACTTTGTGACTTTCTCCTACCCTTTGACCTCGGCTCGTTTCACGTTATTCTGTCTTCTGGTTCCCCTTACTCGGCTTGTTTCCTGACTATTCTGTGTGTGCTTAGCCCGGCCACTCTAAGGTCCGGTACGGCACCTTTTGTGTGTGTGTGTGTGTATGCCAGCGTGTTGGGTTCCCCGAACCGTGACAGCCGCACTATGCTCACTCCTAACGGGCGTTTTCATAAATAAGTCACTGCGTGTGTTCTGTATTCCACAGCATCTTTAATGGCACGGAACAAACAATCCTTGGAAGTTTTGTTCCTATGGAAGAATACTTCAATAAAAAATTTTTTTTCGTTAAAAAAAGATAACAAATGTAATGTAATATGCATTACTTGTAATATAAAAAATACATACTAGTGTACTATGTTATCTGATATCTCCAGAGTATCAGTAACATTATTTCTATATAATACTCCCTTCACCAATCTCTCTCTCTGTATTTATATATGTACACACACACTGTATATATATACATATATAGTAACATAGTTACATAGCTGAA